TGTATATGTATATACATGTCTTTCCCAACATGTATGCATGCATCGTATACAGTACAGGATGTCCAGTTTAGCACGTCCTTCGTCCCTTCTGCCGTAGCTCTGTTCAGGGAGATAGTGTGTGAAAGCTATGTATTGCATATAATGACATGTGCTAAGAACGCGTGTGCTTCATGTAGAATGCTTTCGTGCGCGTAGCATACAGCCATGTTGCGGATTCTCGCACCCCTTCTCACCGTCGCATGGAGTCTAGTCGGTGTACGTGATGTTGGGTTTTAGGGTTTTTTGGTTTTGTGTATCGCGAGTTGCCCGTCTATGCGTTCAGGGTTCCAATCCTACTTTTTATCGTCATAATTCTACAAGCTGTGGCAAAATTGGCCCCGTGACTGCTTTCTTGTACGCAACGTCGCATCTCCGATAAAATTTCTCACAATTCCAACCTATTTTTCATCTTTTTGAATTGGCAGTCCCTAATCGAGGCCTGCAATGATTCATCGTGGCTAGAGTCGGAGCCCAACATTTCGGTGAGTCCGCTTTTTGTGATGGGTCACTATGACACAGAATCCGTTTTAACCCGAGCTCGGTTTAGATTAGGGCAAACAATCTTGGCCCATATTGGAGTTATAGGGGTTAGAAATTCAGGATTGAGGGGTTGAGATCATCGGTGTGACGTGCAGGATTCATGGTTTAGGATCACTACTTCCATCGATCTCGATACAATTGAGGGTGTACGCTCAATATATAGTTTAGTTGTATTCGCATACTAGATTAGGTATGGGGCATTCATGTACGCGATAATGATGCGGAGATTACACCAAATGAGGCAATGACAAACTCGCTTGTGACCACGCACTGACGTTTATTGAATGGAAATTATTCATTCTGTGAGAACCATGTGACAAGTATCTCTAGGTGCAGTAATATACCTTTATAGCTGTCACTGTTGCGCTAGGACTAGCGGTCACGGTTGCACTCGGACTAGCGGTTACGGCTGCGCTTGATATATCATGTATACATTCTGCCGTACACGATCGGTTGTTTGACGTAGAATTATTTCATACCTTCCCAAGAATTGATGTGATTGTATCCGATATTGGTCCTGCGCAACAGCAAGGATGTAGACTCATAGCGTGCGCCGGCAGCAAAACACACTGTTCTTTGGTGTTAGTCTCTCTCCTGACGACTACACCAACCCAACTGTTACACATCCACACCGACTTGTGCACATGAATCTATCACGTTAATTCTTCTCCCGCGACAAAGGCGCTCATACATCTGTTATACACACACACACACACACACACACACATGTATATATATATATATATACTTGCATCTATCCATCAGATGACAGTCTTGTTCGACAACGAGGAGGTGGGTTCACTGAGTGCCCATGGTGCACAATCCACCATGCTGATCCGCGCGATCACTCGCCTGACGAACTCTCCCAACGAAGCCGGTTTGGATATGGCCCTTGCACGCTCTATGCATGTCAGCGCCGATATGGCTCATGCAGTACACCCTAACTACAGGTAGAAAACGCGCTGTATGTATACTCGATGGATGGTGAGAACGTTTAAGCCCGAAGTTTTGTCATTGTACACTTTGATTATAGCGTGCTTTGTTTGTATCTATGTAGATAGACCTGCCTACGTAGGTAGACCTGACTATGCATCTGCGTACACATCTGTTCGAGTGCAGGTGAAGGAAGGCGGTGTGTGTGTGTGTGTGTTGTAGTATACACACACACATGTTCAATTTTTGTATATATTCTCGACGATCATCGCTTATTTATTGCATGATCGCTTATACGTAAAACATCTTGCGCCCAGTGTATGGCATATGAATAATCTGGGGTGTCACGGGTACCGTGCGTATGCGTGGACAAGGAATATAGATTAGTGAAAGAGTGTTACCTTCATATCTTATCACTGACAGAAATTAGTGAAAGAATGTTACCTTCATATCTTATTACTGACGGAATTTAGATTAGTGAAAGTGTGTTCCCTTCATATCTTATTACTGGCAGTGCACCTCACAAGCATGAAGCATCTGCAAGACCTTAATGGGATCCACAAAAAAGCTGTGTGTCCGTATATTGCCGAGAGCGTTTTAGCCTTCTGCACTTGAAAAACCAAAGACAACCATATCCTCGTGCATACACATTTTTCCAGTCGTTATGGTTCCAACAATGATATCGGGAATTTGTAGTATACGCCTCTTGTGTAATTAGAAATTACGCTTAACCCGCTTGTCGACGGACAGTATCTTGACTCGTCTACGGCGAGGAACACGACTAGTATTTCGAGGTCAATCGTGCTCTTGTAAAGTGATGAATTGCCTTCGTCCACCTATTTAAAGTCGGATTCATCAGGTATGCCTTGTATATCCGAGAAGTGCATACGTATCCAATTCGAAGTTGAATCTTGTATCCTTGCGTACAGCGAGATATATGACGCCAATCATATGCCCTGTAGATACGCATACATTGTACCCTTATTGGAATATACATATCTCATAATAACGTTTTGTCCGGTTGTACAGCGAGAAACACGAAGACAATATGAAGCCACAGCTGCACATGGGTCCTGTGGTGAAGATCAACTGCAACACGCGTTATGCGACCACGGCAGTCACCAACGCTATGCTACACACACTCGCGCATAAGAACGACATTCCTATCCAGGTGTGTGATGTGCTTATTGTACTGCGTATATGGGTTTTCTTATCCCGGTATGTGATGTGCTTATTGTACTGTGTATATGGGTGTTTTTGTTTTCACCGTCATTCCGTTTGATCGCTGTACTTTGGTACGAATTCGTGGTAAGTACGTACACCCATAACTTGCGCTATACTACCATGCGAGTAGGTAACGATAAGCTGCATACACTGGCCAAAAAGAACGGCGTCAGTAAACTGCGTTTTTTTTAACGGTTAAAGAGCGCTAAGCCTTTAACCGTTCATCTGGCATGTGCTTATAGTACGTAACCAACTGCCTGCGTTGCAATGCACTTCTAACGGTTTAGTTCACATTCTAACGGTTTAGTTCACACACGCATTACGCAGGAGCTTGCGGTTCGTAACGATTCCTCGTGCGGCACCACCATCGGACCCATTTGCTCTGCCAACACGGGCATCCGCACAGTTGGTAAGTGAGTGTACGTGCGCATGAATTACGTTTTCGATCTGCGAAGAAATCGTGTGTAGGTAGTCAACCTGCGTGGGTGAACACATGAAGTGGGCTGCGTTGTTGTCGTCTAGCAATTACGTCGAAAGTTAGAGTACGTGTGGATACGTATTTGATCTGTCTGGATATGTAAATGGTGGACGCTGGTATGTTCTAGTATCAGTACAGAAATCTGTACATTCATCCGGAGATCCGTGCAGGTCTACTGGAAAGGGGTGTGACCTTCGTTAGGGTTTAGGGTTTAGGACACTCGAACAATGTACTAGCAGCGTACTGTGCCGTGTCTCATTCCGGAGAGACTTTCTCGTCTTGAACTGATCATTTACTTATCAGTGTCATACACCTGATAGGTGCAACTATTGTGTTTTGTTTCCTTATCTCTCGACCATGCAGGCCTTTGCAGTCTCCTGCTAGAGGAATTCCCCCGTCTCTACACCCGATAGTTGTGTGCCTTTTTCGGTTTATTACATTGTCACTCGATCATACAGACATTGGCAATCCCCAGCTTTAGTAAATCACTGTCTCTGTTCCTATTAGATGGGGCTAATGCGTTTATTGTTTTGACATAGGTAATCCCCAGCTACAGGAAATTCCCTGTCACTATTCATGATAGATGGGACTAATGCATTTTATTGGTTTGTCCCTCCATCACATAGACATTGGTGATTCCCACTGTCTCTGTTCCTGATAGATGGGACTAATGCGTTTTATTGGTTTGTCCCTTCATTACATAGACATTGGTAATCCCCAGCTACAGGAAATTCCCTGTCACTATTCCTGATAGATGGGACTAATGCGTTTTATTGGTTTGTCCCTCCATCACATAGACATTGGTGATTCCCACTGTCTCTGTTCCTGATAGATGGGACTAATGCGTTTTATTGGTTTGTCCCTTCATCACATAGACATTGGTAATCCCCAGCTCTCAATGCACTCCATCCGCGAGATGTGCGGAACGACAGACATCAAGCACTGTGTCGACCTTATGAAGGTAAGTGGCACCAGAGATTTAAATTTTTCCACGATATACATACACAATTGGTTCGTAAACGACTGATCTTTCTACTATACACATACACAATTGGTTCGTAGTAAGCGACTCATCTTTGTACTATACACATACACAATTGGTTCGTAAGCGACTGATCTTTGTACTATACACATACACAATTGGTTCGTAGTCGACTGATCTTTCTACTATACACACGTACTTTGTTCGTAAGCGACTGATCTTTCTACTATACATCTCCACGCCGCAGGTGTTCTTCACTCAATGGACTGCGCTAGAGGACGGTTGGGATATCGACCACAGTTGAATAGTTGAATAATACATACTCCTCCCGACTACAATGGTAGGCCATGATAATACATGCACAATGTGATACTACCAAACTATGAGGTATTATAGTCCCCTGCCGACGTAAATAGTTGAGCGCCAAATAATAAAACGAAATGTCAGTATGTGTTGTTCGGCTTTTGCTTTCATACTCACTATCGTATTCTTGGGCTATCGACCCCATTTAAAATACCACGCCACCTGGCTACAATTGTTTACCATCAAGCTATAAGTGGTTCAAGCCAATGCCGATTTTTCGATCCAGCCCCAAATAATAGAGCCAATTTGTATACTATAATGACAATTGCACCCACTCTAGTAGGACTCCCCATTTCCAAAGGTCCCCTACAACATTGCAAACTTAAGAGTTGACGTATGTCAGTGGGATGGCACTAAAGTTCGTATACTACATTGACGATTGCACTCACTTGTGTAGTATGCACTCCCAGACCTTTGGGCCCATGGAGATGCCCATGTGCGTAAACGTTTAAACGGTACAGCATTACCGTCAAACGGTCACTAACTCTCTTAATGTGTCGCTATTTTGGGTAATACATCGATAGGGTCAGTGTAGTGCAGTGCCGTGCCTGGTAGTGAGACAGACTGCCGTGTTGATATTGTTAGGGTTTTAGGGTTTGATGAGTGATTTATTGAGCCCTTGTATCGGTAGGGTTGGCGTCTAACGGTGCTACGCTTTCAATTCGACAGTATAGGGATTCGGTACAAGTGAGTGAGTGACTTAAGAAAGTTCAGTACAAGGGAGTAAGTGACTAGAAAACGCACTTGCATGGGCAAGGTTGGTACAGTTTAAAGTCTTGCAATTCGTAGATAATAAATCATTTTCGTACTTCACTTTTGCTCTACAAGTCCTATACGAACTGAAACTACCCGCACCTAATGACGAAAGTGAAATTCACTCGTCCGTTAAACTGTCTCTTCGGAACAGTCCTAGACCTTGCATGGCTCATCGCTCTTGGTTTATTGAATTAGTCTATTTAATTAACTATGACCGGCTATGCGTAGGCACTTCTTGGCTAAGGAACGACCTACTAGTACACTCGACATTAGTCTGTTTTAAAAGTATGACCAGCGGTGCGTAGGCACTTCTCGGCTAAGGAACGCCCTAGTACACTCGATTATACGTCAGACGAACCGGAGCACTTCATAATTCCGTACGCTAGCCCATCAGCTGTCCCTCTGTAGTGACAACTTGCGCCGAAATACAAGTCACCTGTGCTGTCGAGTGACTTGACTCACTGTCAATCTCACGGACTCTTGTGTACTTATACACCTTACCTCAGCACCAGATGGCTCAATCTGGGTTGGTCGTATGGTCCGTAGAACTGTATCGACCACAATGGCTTGCGCTTGCCGCCACCTTTGCTTGTTCCAGGTCAGACACACGCAGTGTCACGTTGACGATACTATTTAACGATTGCTAATTCTTTGTGGACCGGTATAGTGATCTCCGCCACATACAGCTCTCTCTCTCCTTTCCATTATTTTACCTATTTGCTCATACATACATACATTCATCCATCCATCCATATATATGCATGTATGTTTGTATGTATGTACTAGAATATCTGCTATGTACTAAACTATTTGCTAGGATCGAGTGATCTCTGCCCTACCTGTGCTATGCTGCCAGTTAAATGCAGACCGAATGTGTCCTCTGGCCCTCCAACCCAAGCGCAAACTTAATAAGCTAAACCCCTGCTTCACTACTGTCACGTGCCCCGAGTTTCAATTGCGCATTTACAACTAGGCACGCATGTTCATCCGATCTAATTCACGAAAGCCCCGGACGTACTGTCTCACCTAGTACAAACCTGGGTACAAACAGTAAGCGGAGTTGGCGATCGACACCAAGGTAACTACACCAAGCTCTGCTTGAAGGTCAACAAAGCGTTGTGCTGCTCCTCTCGATGGACCACCTCCAGAGCATATTCGAGGTCGACCTGTGGCATGAGAACTGATTAGTATACAGTGACCTGTAGTATGAGAACTAATTAGTATAGAGTGACTTGTAGTATGAGAACTGATTAGTTAAAGTGATCTGTGGTATAAGAACTGAGTAGTATACAGTGACCTGTAGTATGAGAACTACAGTGACCTGTAGTATAAGAACCGACTAGTATTCAGTTTGTTGGACAATGGCAACAGACGCACAAAGACCAGAATGCGATCGGATGCATTATATGTTCCAACAGAGATCACAAACATACCCATACATGGCCGCGGTAGAGGTACATTGTAGAACGGATACAAACGGACCCGAAACAGCACAGTTGATGGGAAGGTTCAGCGGCAAACTATTAGGCACCAGCACACCCATACAGAACAATCACAGCCCATGAAAGGAGCAGAGCAGGGACGTTAACAGGGGATGGGCAGCCACTTTAATCCCCAGCATTAGGACAGGCGAGTCAAAGAAAATTCAAAATATGACCAACAATGTTTATATACAAAGAGAAGAAATGGCGCCTACATACCCAGCGCCGTTGCCTGACATCACTCTCGGCCCATTCGCTATCGGAGAGTTCTTCGGTTACATGTAATAGAAAGACATGCAACCGAGATGCTTTACCAGATTTCTTGCTAGTCGCAATCCATGTACCTAATGGCCGGTCGATTGTTCCGAGTACACCACCTTCCTCCTCTGATGACAACAGGGAAAGGGGTATGAGTACATCTGAAAGGCGTGAAAAGACACACACAGGAAGAGTGGGTACAGACAACAGAATAGAGTAGAGACACGACTAAACGATCGGCAGCACAATTGTCTGTATCAAAAACACAACGGAGCGCTATATAAACACGATTGAAAGGGTTAGATATCATACTTCCATGCTTTGCATACACCTCAGTATGATCGAGTGGCCGAGTTTCTTATTTATTCTGCGAGCTATATTGTACTGCTACGGTTCAGATAGGTATAGGCGATACACAAATACACGGGCGGAGAAACCGGACAACGCCAGTATGCGACATGTGAATTTGTTGGTAGAGTATGTGTATTGGCTATGGTTGATTGGGACCGGGTGCAAGCAATAGCTGCAGCGATGCAAGACGTAAGCGAAATGAAGGTACTAGTTGTGGGTAAAGTGAAAGCTACAGCTTATGAGCTGCACGTAAAAGCTGCAGCGATGCAGGACGTAAGCGAAATGAAGGTACTAGTTGTGGATAAGTGAAAGCTACAGCTTGTGAGTACAGGGGGGGCGCACGCAACGACATGCGATGCGATTCTCACACATGACGAAACCGCACGGCACAGAGCTGATACTTCTACATTGCGCATGGCAGTGGTTGTCACCAGCTGTGTACTGAATACTACGTGATCTATTATTGTCTCATGGGCTCCTCGACACTCTTGCCTAGTGTCATATTTGAAAATCA